TGCACTTGGACACAGTACAATTGGACACGGTGCAAATGGACACGTTGCAAATGGACACGAAACTTTGCACACGGCTCAATTGGACACAGTGCATTTGGACACAATAATTTTGGACACAGTAGCTTTTGGACACAGAAGAAAATTCATTTGGACACCGTTCAGTAGCACACCGGTCAGTTGCACACTGTTCAATTGCACGCCGTTCAGTTGCACACATAAAAATGCACACCGTTTAGTTGGACACGTAAAAATGCACACCGCTCAGTTGCACACCGCTCAGTTGCACACCGCTCAATTGCACACCGCTCAGTTGCACACCGCTCAGTTGCACACCGCTCAGTTGCACGGTGTGCAACTGAGCGGTGTGCAACTGAACGGTCTGCAATTGACCGGTGTGCTACTGAACGGTTTTCAAATGAATTTTCTTCTGTGTCCAAAATTATTGTGTCCAAATGCACTGTGTCCGATTAAACCGTGTGCAAAGTTTCGTGTCCATTTGCAACGTGTCCATTTGCACCGTATCCAATTGTACTGTGTCCAAGTGAAGGCCACTCTCGGCTGGTCGGCGCGTGTACGGCAAGGCCGTGTTTATTTTGATGACGGGGAATATAATATTCGGTATACGGCGCGACAGGTATTTCGGCGCGGCGATTAATTTAAATGTACGGCAAATCCGCGTTTGAATAATTCACCGATGTTAGATGCGTTTAGTCGCGTATTCCCAGATGTTCGAGGAGGCGGTCGGAAATCGAGTACTCCCGATCGGGTGGAGAACTCTCCGTCCCTATTTCGCACGCGGACTTTAGGATAGCCGGTCGGAGTCGAGAAAGCTCGACGGGGCAGCAAACTCGCAAACTCATGGTCCGTCTGGCTGGAGCGGTCGGATGTTAGACCGGTGATCTAGGAGAGCGGCGAACACTCCGCTCTTGTCGAGTCGGTCGGAAGTTGGCGAGGATTCGCAGGCGGCAAGGAAACCGAGAATGCTCGGCGGAGGCTGCGAACTCGTCAATCCCACGTTCTGTCGTGTTCTGAGAAGTAAAGGATTGGATATATATCGGCATATCTCGAGCGTACTGCTCGAGAGGCTTCAGGTACCGGTCTGGTACTGAGATCTATTTCGGCTGCCTTTTTATACCGAGAATCTAACGGTAAGCGCGTCGTTCTTTCTGGTGAAGGTAACAACGCGTTGTTTTCGGGTACGGTAATTAGCGGTTAATGCGCCGCTATCCTTCGGCGAGAAAATAACGCGGCGTTTCGTTGGTTGAGCGCTCGGAAGCGTTCGGCGGTTTTCGGTAACGGTTCGGGCCATAACGGCAGCCGTATAACGGTTGTTCGGTATCTAAGATATCGTGTTCTCTTTACGAGTATTAAAAAGGGCGCTAAGCGCTTCTACCCCTTTTTTTGTAACGGAGGGAAAATGCCTTTACGCATACCCCGCCTCGATGGGGTTCGAGGCGGGGTTATGTGGGACTACCCCCGGCCTAAACAAACGGCCGGGGACTACCCACTAAAACCCCTCCGGGTGGCCTATCTCGGGCGTTTCAGAGGGCCTCTCTGGAAACTGGCATATGCACTACTTCAGAGAGGCCCTCCGCCCACGAGCCGTGCCCGCTGGGGGAGCGGTTTATGTCTCCCCCAGTGTCCCCGCTGTTATGGGGACATCAGCTTGACTTGGCGAGAGGGGGACCACCGCCCCTCTCGCCTCCCTCCCAGTATTATCCCCGGGGAGGGCGTGGCCGGGCCCAGGTACCCCACCTGGGCTCCGACCACCGGGCCCGGCTCGGGGTGAGACGCCCGCGACGAGTTAGCGGGCGTCCCCCCAAGTTGCCGGGGCCCTGCGCAATCGCTGGGGGAGTTCGATGGGGCCGGGTCCGATCGCGACCCCGCCCCCTCCCCCTGCGTGCGCCCCCCCTCTGCTGGGGCGGGTCTCCGGAGTGGCCAGGGGCTAATATCGCCCCGGCCCCCATCGACCCACCCCTGGGGGTCCGTGGGGCGCGGCTGGCCGCCGCGCCACCGCTACCGGAGGTCGTGGGGGGTCGGCGGGTCCTACCGTATGGCCCTTCCCGCCCTTCCCCCCCGTCTCCTCCGGTCGCCCCTTCTCGAGCGCGGTCTCCCCGGCGTCCACCGGGGAGCCGCTCCCGCTCTCGTTCGGCCTCCTCCTTCTGGAGCACACCTCTCCAAAGCGCGTCGCCTGGCCTGGAGTCTCACGGCGGCCTTGACCCTTGGGGTCAACGCCACGCCTAGCCCGCCGAGCTCCCGCGTACGCCTGTACACGTGGGCGTACATATCGGCGTAGAGCTCGACGGGCGGCGTTCCCGCCAATAATGTGGCCGCCGTGTGCGACACCGTCCTGTAACCGCGGACAACCCTGATGGCCACCCTCCGAAAAACTCGGCGCAGCAACATCTTGCTGCGCCTTTTGGTCATCAGGGCGTCCACCCACACCGGTGACCCGTAAAGGGCCACCGCCCGGACGGTGTTCGCGTATAAGCGGCGCACTCGGCCGTCCGGGTCCCCAAGATTGGGCAAGAGTCGGCTCAGGCTAATAGCCACCGACTCTGCCCTGGGGGCCAGGCGCTCAAAGTGCCCGCCAAAACTCCAAGCCGCGTCCAGGTAGAGACCGAGGTATTTTAATCGGTCCCCCACCCGGACGGAGATGTCACCTACCGTGACATAGGCCTCGGCGGGGGGAGCCCCATGCTTCCCCCTCTTTTTTTATGCATGAATAGCGCCTCGGTCTTTTGAGGCGCTACCTGCAGGCCCATGCCACGGATTGCGCGGACAACACACGCTACTCCGACATTGGCGGCAGAAACCGCGTCCCCCCAGCTCTTTCCCCGCGGCTAACAGCAAAGTGTCGTCCGCATAGCAGACGACGCTGCAGCCGGGGGGAGAGCAATACCCAGCACCCTGTTGTACGCGAGGTTCCACAGAGTGGGGCCCAGCACGGACTCCTGTGGAACCCCGCAGTACACGTCCCTTCTGCGCAGGAGTACCCTGTTGTCAGGGTACTCCAGCCACCTGTCCCAGAAGTAACTCCTTAGGACCTCCACCATGTAGGGGGGTGGAGGCCAAAGGTATTAGCGGCCTCCCCCACCATACTCCAGGGCAGGGTGTTGAAGGCGTTGCGGATGTCCAAGGACACCGCAAGCACCACCCTGCCCTTCTTCATGATGGACTCCGCGAGGGACCGCACGCGCAAGATTGCGTCCACGGTCGATCGCCCCCCGCGGAATCCATACTGGTCTCGGTGGAGTTCCATCTCTCCTCGGGACAGGTGTTGGACGAGGCGGTTCGCCAACACTCTCTCCAAGAGCTTTCCCGCCTCGTCCAACAGGCATATTGGCCTATAGGCAGAAGGGACGCTGCCGGGTTTGCTCCTCTTCGGGATGAGGACCAGTCTGGCCCCCACTCATGCTGGGGGGAACACACCTTCTCTGAGGCAGCTGTTAAACAGCCGCCTCAGGCGCCCGGACAGTTGGGCCAAAGCCAGGACCCAGACCCGGCCGGGGAACCCATCGGGGCCCGGGGCCTTATTGCCCCGGAGTCTCAACCGACGGATCACACCGGCCATCTCGTCCTCTGAAACCTCCAAGTCCTCAGACCACGGGATGGCCGCCTCTTGGCAACCACCCGCGTCAAAGGGGGGCCCTCTGATGGAAAGAGGGCCTCCAACACACCTTCGAGGACCTGGGGTTCCAGGGACTCCGTCACGGGGGGCGCTCAAGATCTAAGCTTGTTCATGACAAACCTGTATGGGCGCCCCCATGGGTCTGCGTTCAAGGAGCGCAGGAGTTCATCCCACGCTCTGGCCTTGGCCCGCCTGATCGCGGCGCTGAGGGCGTTGCTAGCGGTACGGAACCCCTCATACGCCTCCGCCGTCCTCTCGGCGTCGGAGCGACGCCGAGCCCGGGTGAAGCGGCGCCTGGCTGCGACGGAGAGTCGCCTGAGTTCGGCGATTTCCTCGCACCACCAGTACGCCGCCCTTCGCTGGCTCGGGGCATTGCGAAGTCGCACGCATCGCGCCTCGAAATCAGTTCACCTTTTCGGTGATCCCCCGCCCTTCCCCCCGGGACACGGCCAGTCTGCCGCGAGGACGGCTGCGATCAGCCTGTCTGGGCTCAACTTTTTGAGGGCCCATCTCCTTGGCCGGACATCTCCCCGGTCTTGGGAGCGGCCGAGCACCCCGTGGCGGGTGGTGTTCAGGACCACCTCTATATAGAGGTGGTCCGAGAGCGTCTCGCACTCAGCCATCCGCTAACTTACGATCATACGTGCGGCGGAGGGGGTGGCCCATGTCAGATCCGGGACCGACTCCCACCGCACTAGGGTGCTCCTCGACCCCGTGTTTATGAGACACAGGCCGAGTGCCGCCGCCCAATCCTGCAGGGCCTCGCCCCTGGCGTCTGTGAACCGGGAACCCCAACGCGTCGATTTTGCGTTGAAGTCCCCGGCCACTATGATTGGACGGGGCATCTGTCGGCGGAAACAGGCCGACACCCCGTCCAAAAACGCCTCATACTGGGCGAGGCCCACGTTCGGGGAGATGTAACACCCCAGCACTGAGATGGGCCCCCATCTGACCACCACAACTCTTGCCCCGGCCTCAACCGGTGTGCAAGGCGGGAGTGTGGGGTCATTCCTCCACGTGATCGCAACGGAGCCTGTCCGGTCGCCAATCCAACATGGACTGGCTTCCGGAACTTGGTATGGCTCCGCCGCGATCCCTAATCCGAAACCACGCTCAGCCAGGCTATGCAGGAACAGATCCTGCGCCCGGCGAGCGTGGTTCAGATTGGCCTGCAGTATACCCAGAGGGCATTTGTTTATATGCCCCCGGGTTCCGCCATCACTACCTCCGCTAAGGAAGCGGGGGGTGTGACGGCTGCAGGCCGGGCCCTCGGGGGCCTCCGTCGGGGTCCCCCTATCCTCTGCCCCGCGCTTGCGAGTGTCGGAGGACGCCGCTGTGATCTCGGCTAGACTAACTGGCCGAGGCACTTTCGCGGCCCCTGTCGCCGGGAGAGCCTCCCGCCGTTTGTCCGGTCGCCTTTTAGGGGGGGTGCACTTGGCACTACCCATCCTATGGTCGGCCGGACGACCAAGTCCCGCGCAGACCGGGCACCTGACTTTTTCGGCGCAATTACGCGCCAGGTGCCCCGGTCCGCCGCATCTATAGCAGCAACCCCGGCGATCGATGGGGCTGCTGCAGTGCTGCTGGACGTGCCCTTTCTCCAAGCATTTGAAGCATTGGAGCGGGCGCTTGTCCAGCAGCTCCGCTTGTGCCCGGGACCATCCTATTTGGATGGCCCGGGCTGCATTTTATTTGGATGGCCGGGGCTGCCGCTATTTTATTAGCGGCCCTCAATGGGCACTGTACCCAGACAGTGCCCAGGACGCGGGTTGGGAACCTAACATCCCCAACCCGCACATTCGCCGCCTCGCAGCCCTCCGCCCCAGAGACGGCCGCCGCGAGGGATCGGTCGAGGCCGCGGAGCCTCAGCTCCGCC